TACCTTTCTACCTTCGTCTTTGAAACACTCTTCTATTCCCCTCCCCTCTCGACTTTCTTTCGCTATGATGTTTCTTCCCCTCTGCGAAGCCCGAAGTCAACTAAAGGGCTAATGGTAACCATCAAAACGCCAGCTAATTGATATAATCATAAATAAGCAATTTAGAATGACACTTGCCTCTTCATCCGACAATCGCATGACTTTGTCATGACAGGCCACCGTCTCTGAGACATTGGGTCTACTTAGATTATGACAGAAACCCTGAGTTTCAAGATTGTCAGCCAGGAATAGGGGAACCATCGAGGTCTCCGAGACACAGCCACACCAACGCTGAATCACAGATGAACGTAGAGCTGCAATACAATTGCTTTTTGTGTACGCCACACTGATAGCTTTACGCTGTTGACTTTTTATGAATGCTCCGACATCGAGGTAGACTATTGGAGGGATGTAATTCTTGCATGGGCGAAAATAAGAATGCAGGCGTTCGTGGATCTAAACAGGTAGAAAATAGAACAATTTTTTTCGTTATCAAATATTGATTGACAAATATTTGAATCTTGAAAGTAGGCGCACAAAGTCTTTATTCTTAGTGCTGGAATTCTGTTTCCATTCAATTTGAAAAATTCAATCATGCCCCCCTGGCCTTTCAAAATTATTTTTGTCAATAAAATATATCAGAAAGCGGTACAGTCAATAGATTTCTGATTTCGTCATTTATATCACGTCTGACTGCTATCTTAATAAAACGGTATGTGTAGGGGAAGGAGGCTGGAGACATTTAATTAACTTTAAAATGATTATTCCTATAATTGGCGCTTGAAGGTCAAATGAACAACAGAGCAGAGTGCAAAACCAACTGGCTCAGCTGGCGAAAAAGCGTAGATTTTGCGACCTTCAGCTCTGTTTACCAACGCACTAAAAGCTCTCAAACAGTCGTCTATCATTGAATTCAGAAGGTTGGACTTATATGACCTTTTCTAGCCTTTTTTGGTGAATAGGGTTAAAGGCGTGCTGATTATTGTTTCTACTCTTCCGGTTTTAATCTTTCAACGCTTGCAATAACGCACGATCCTCTTTCAAAATAAGCTCCGTTGGCGCTGGACGCATAAGAGAAGGGAAAACAGTGGGAACATTTTTCTTGAACTCAAAAAATAAGTTGGGCGTTAAGAGGTTAAGGTAAAAATTTGAAGCTCTAGGACCTCTAAATTTTCCACATATGAGCCCGTGATTAATACTCCCACCCAGTGCTCGAAGTTAAATACCCCAGTGGTTATACAGTTTTGACAAGGGGGGGGGGGGGGGTGGGTGGAAAATAGAGAAAATCTAATCTTGGAGGGTCTTCGATACTAGAAAATAGCCTTTTAATCTTTCTTTTTTTACAGTTACTGATTCGCCATTAGGAACACATTAACTGTTGAAACCTGCAGTAGAAACACCACCCCCACCCCCCGGTTAATAATCAGGGGTTCACTAAAGAGGAACGCTGATCAACTGTCTGTCTTGGTCAGAGGGATGGAAGTCTGAGTGCTCAATGGTGACTTATTTTTAGCTGTCAGATATAATTCTACGGGAGTTTTCGAATGGATGATTGCTAGTTTTGTCAAAGATTTAACAGTAAAATTCATCCCAGTTTGAAGCTATTCAGTCGGGTGATTCCGTACTATCTGAACTGGATCCTTCGATTTCACAACTAGATAAATTCGCACAAATTCTGAAAACCTGCACGTACCAGCAGAGTTCTTTTTCGTTATGATTGGATGGGATCGTTTCCAACATCCCATCTTTAAAATTCTTCAGTCAAAGCGAAAGGGAACAAATTTGTAAATAATTTGACAATATCAACGTATCCAAGTCTATAATATAACAATGCTGGGGGGGGGGGAACGTGAAAAGTGTCTCGCCACTTAGAAAAAGGGGAGTATGTGGGAAAGCACACAAAGCCTATGAGATGTAGGAAATGTACAAATACGGGCTACTACGACAAATGATCGGAGTAAGCAGCCCATTTGCCCATGACCGCACGCCTTCGCCAGGAGCGTTAGCGACTCATGATTTCAAGGCCTTTTCTAGCCAATAGCTAAACTGAGCTACCACCATTAGTCCACTCTGTGTGCAAGCGACTGTGCTTACGCTTGAGCCAGATAAGTTTCGAGTCAAATTCTTGTATATTTGTAGCTTATAATATGGGGTGTGCGATAGACTTACCTCCACGTGGTGCACGTATACTCATACGGCAAAAAGTCTATAAACCGGCAGTTGACTACTGACTTCAAACTACCATCACCCCATTGTATGCTATATTCGACTACTTCCACAGTACTCACCTCACCTTTTTTCTACCTTCGTCTTTGAAGCACTCTTCTGTTCCCCCCTCCCCCTCTAGACTTTTTTCCACTTTGATGTTCCTTCCCCTCTGTGAAGCCTGAAGTCAACTGAAGGGCCATTGATAACCATCAAAACGCCTGCCATTTGATATAAATAAATATTTGTAGCTTATTAAAACCCTATTCGAGCAGCATGTCTTCCCTTTTGCTTGTTCGTTGTCCAAGTAAATTATGCAACAGCAACTTCAGTTACAACATATTTAATGATTATGCTTTTTTTGGCATTAAAACATTGAATCAGTTTTATGAAACCGGTTTGGTTGTGTGAATCAACATTGAGTTTGAACTGCTTGTGGAGACAAACCCTTATTAGAACCCTTCCTCAAGGTTAATATTTGTGAAATAGACCTAACCTTACCAGTAATGACTATGAGAATTTAAATCACTTAACAAAGTTAAAATTAAAATTAAAGCAGGTAACTCACGAATTGCGAGAGAGTGACCACAATTTGCTGTCCATATCGGACAGAAGTACGAACCACTGATCGAGCATCGCCTGTGGAAGGCAAATCTCTACCGGAAATGACCGACATGTCATTCCTTGCAACATCATGGAGCAAAACTTGCATTCCATCCATTTCGCTGGCCAAACCGGCATCTTCCTCGTTAATGGAGCCCGTGTGATCAGTCCAACCCTGTAAGAAATCGATTAGCAATTGGTTAATAATTACAAAAATGTAACCACTATGCTTTCCAATGGCGCATTAGGAGCCAGGAAGCACTATAGCTTCATGATAAATAAAGGTGAATTTCTCGATTAAACTCTCAGAACTGTTTAGGTACAAGATGTTGGGGATTAATTGTGAAGGTCTCATAAATAAGAAGAATAATTAGTTGGTGATTACATAATTTAATAGGGTTAAAATATTGAGAATGAGGTATGCTCTAAATAAGCGTCTTTCACACCCTCAATTAGGTCCAGGAGTCTGGAACAGGCCGGTTATACACTTTCCATCGAAGGGTCCCAAAGTCGCTTAAATGCTGTCCAGAAATCGGTTGGCCCCAGCGATTAGCGTCTTTCTTCACAAGGCTTAATAAATGAATTAGATCCTATCTTATGGAAAAATTGGAGGTTGAACATTGAAATGGGTGTAGTCGTGAAATTTGGCTCAGTCGTCCGTGACTTCAACTGAGGTTTGGATGGAGCCGAATTCTGCCACTGCTATACATTTGGTCAATTAGTGGCTCCCTTTGTTCGCTATCCATGGCTCAACTATTGCATTGGTCAGAGATTTCATGAAGAAATTTGAACTCAACCTGAGCTCCTCTTTAAAAAGGCAAAGCCAGACACCACATCGCATAAACTTTTCCACGAGAAGTGGAAGAGCTTTATGGAAGATACTGAAACATTATACTCTTATTTCTGGCGACAAAGCCTCTGACATCTCGTACAGCAGATTTTCGTGGAAATCATCTCTTAATTTTCAGTAATTCTAGCAAAATTAGATTTTAGGGGTTAAATCCCTCTATAATTCACGTATGAGAAGTGACCCATACCGTTGTAAAAAAGTTTAAACCATTTGAACATCAATTCTGTGTCACGAAAACACGAAGATACTCCTTATTGGCGTATACTAATTAATTTACTTACTTATAGCTTGGTTGTTACTGCTTATTTGGGTATTTACTCATTAAAGTTTATGAGTTCTAAACGCTCCCAGATACTGAAGATGTATCCGTGTAGATTGATCTGTGTATTTTGTAACTTTTCATTACCAATTTTTCTCGTTTCCTGGCAGTCCTTGCCTTCCAAAACTGTAATCAGCTGTCTTTCGTTTGCTCTCATAACCAATGGTCCAATCGGGGCAGTGGGAACCGAGGGGGGGGGGGGGGGGAAGTGAGCATATCTGATAAAATGCCGTTCTCACGCTTCGTTATATGCGAAAATGATATAAATTTGTTCTTTTATCATGGCTATATTGCGCACATGTGGAGTGCGAGTTTGGCTTACTCCCATGTGGTGCACTCTGTCCAACGTATACTCACATATCAAAAAAGTATATAAACAGGCAGTTGATTCCAAACTACCACGATCCCACTGTATGACATATTCGACCACTTTCACGGTATTCACCTTACCCCACCCCCTACCTTTGTTTCTGTCTGTCTGTCTGTCTCTTTTACATCTGTAAATTACTCCATTGTTTCTTCCCCCCCCCCCCCCACGACTTTTGTGACTTTGATATTCCTCCCCTCTGTGAAGCTCGAAGTCAACAAAAGAGCCAATGATAACTATCATAAAACCCGCCTTTTTGCATTGACGATGTCTCATACCCCACAAATCCCAATTGCCAATCGACGAACTCTTGTCGATCGCTCACCAACGAACAAAAGACAAAATCTGTCACCCCCGCCCCTCTTATCGCACATCAGCAGGCATGGTGGCACATCACGAGTCCACTCGTCCAGTGCCTACATTTTCTGCCATCCCACTTTCAGCATCGCGTGTTCCTTACTGAAACCCAATAGCCATGAGGAAGATCATTCATTTTGTATGAGCATTTCACGGCAAAAGTTAGCTCAGCCCGAAAAGTCGTTTCATTTTTGGGCTAAGACCTGCTTTAAATCGCTTTGTTTTTAACGAATTCCACCGAATATATAGTTTCGACCTCTGACCTTGGGACAAGCCATTCTGTCAATGAAGTGTACGTGTTGGCACCCAACGTTCACATTGTGAATGTCATAATGCTGGCAATCAGAGGAACGAACAATACAATTCGCTTGCACTGCGTATTGGGGGTTTAGTTAATGAATAGAAATTACAATTATTGGCCCAGGTAATCTGATCTGATCTTCATTTGTCAATTAATAAAATTTTCTTAAGACCATTAACTCTAGAAAGGTTTGGAATTAAAAGTTTCTGCATGAAGATGTCAATTTTAAGTTTCGTTAAAAGTTAGCTAAATCAAACGGATCTAATATATTTCAACAGCTACCATTCAGTTTCCTTTTTGTTCTTTGACATTTAATTTAAAGCGAAAAATAAACTAACTTGATAGAGGCTAGCATCAGCGTCAACATGAAGCAAGGCTGGAAGTGTTGTTCTATTGTACGGTCTTCTAAAAATCAAATGAAGCCCTGCTCTTGAACCAGCTCTTTTAACCCTTTTCATATCCATGCGGATTTGAAAACACTGATATTTCGCTGGATGAGTAATCACGACAGGAGATCTAGGCCATTTTATCGACTTCGGCATTTGAAAGGTGGTCTTAAGGTACTCATTTCTGATGTCTAGTGAAGTATTCAGGTAGCCATAGGTTCTACCAGGATCCAAAATCCAATCGGCGAAGCCAAGGAAGATTCCTGAATTCGATGAATCATTCTTTCCACTATAGCCATCTCCGGTACCAACAAGAATCTCTCCCTCATCTGATGAATTTTTATGTAATTCTGGACAGGCTCTTCCATTGAATTGACAGGCCACGAAGTACTCTCCCCACTTGACGTGAAGATCTGGAGTAGTTGCATAGATGGGGAAAAAGGAGTATTTTGTTCTTTGACGCCAGTCCCCTTCGAGCTGCGGAAATACATCATGATCAGGAGTACTTGTGTTTGGTGCCATTTGAGTCCAATTTTGAGCGAATCCTGTGAATCTGAACAAGTAATGAAGTGGTGTGGATGAAGAATCTTAGATAAAGTCTATCTGAATTTTTAAACGCATTAATACCTATGACATGAAAATTGTAAGCACTGACGTCCACAATCTACCTTATATTGAAATAGCTTTATGACGCGTGAGGTTATTAACTTGATCATTTGATAAAAAAAGCTGAATAGGTTTTACAAACCATTCCAATTACTCCGTCGATCGATAAAAACCGAATATTGCTGATATGGGATTATTCATCAACCCGGGGCCAAAGAATACACACTTTATTTTGGAACACGAAAGAGTGAATTATTCAGTAAATAAACCGCTGAAAACCGCTTCTTGAAACCAATCGAAGTAAGATAATTTTGGTAACCCGACTTTAACACCAACTCTAAATCAATCCTCACCCCCTCACCCACATTGAAAGGACTGTTTAAATAAGCGCATCGATACATAAAATTGGTAATTTCGCACAATTCTAATAAATTAAAAGGGTTTGAAAGTGTATACTCTCATAAATGAGGTCAATTTTTAAAACTTGCCGGGCAATATAAGTTGATTTAAGAGTTAAAATCACGCGTATACTGTATCATCTGGGATTTCTCTGAATGGTACTTCACAAGTTTCTTAATTACTCTCCTCTACTTGCACAAATACTCTCGAATATTGATTGAACTTAACATAGCATCATTACTATTACGCTTGTACAAACAAATTATTCACTACAAGTAGGGATTACCAAACTATGATGACTCATCCCAACTTCTCGCTCTGGTTAAGTAATACGGACGATGTTGAGTCAGGCGTCACTTTCGAGTGATTCCATATTTGTCCCGCAATCAATGATGATCCTTTACTTCACATTTCCCTCTCAATCATGCAGGCCTAATGAGACAATTTAAATCCTTGTGAATTGGTTGAAAGGGCTTCCTTTTCTCCTACCTTATAGTTCATTCAAGGCAACATTTTATGCCTAAGGAGACGTACGATAAAAAAAGCAAATAATACATTGAGTAGCGTAGAGCGTTGGCGATATTTCGGCTTCTCTAACACTACTACTGTGTCCTCTAGCAATTTCTTCAAAACCAATGAAGTAAAGCGAAATTTGCAAAATTATGTTAAGACAAGCAGCCACTGGGACCTTTCATTTCTAATTACGATCCCAGTGTCCCCAAACATGCTACCGAATTCCCTTCAAATACTGCCTCATTAGCTTTAACCAGATGGCCAATCCACCTCGTAACCCAACTTGCACATAAACAAGTGCAATTTTTTAATGAAGCAGTAAGGAGAAACCCTTGTTGATTTGGGAAGTTTTCTTTCAAGGCGTATTTTAGGTTATCAGTTCAGTTGCTATTATTGGCTACTCACTATTGAGCTGGAGTTAATATAGCGTTCTCAAAATGAGACGTAAAGCGCATCTTTCTAACAAATAGACGAAATCAAAGAGCAAATTCCAAGGTAATTTTAAGGCATCCACTCTTCATAAACTGTTAAGGTTAATATTTAAACTAATACAAAATCTGCATGTTAAAAAAGAACAGGGTATGCTATTATTGCATACAGAGGTTGGATAAATGAGTTAAAGTAATCCTAATGACAAATGTGTTATCAAAATCAGCGTATCAAACGAGAAGTCTGATTTTAAAGCGCATGATATAATATAGTGGGCCAAGGTGAATGCGGAAGCATTTAATAGATCAAACAGTAGCTTACTCATCGAGGACACCAGATTCCGTTAACTGAGCCATTGAGAAGGGACTATCCGGGCACACCGTAATGGCCGGAAAGTGAAATTCACTGGCATCTTTAACGATCACTGTGTTTATTGGTCTGTTAAGAAAAATGAAAACCATTTTTAAAACACATATCCAGCAGAGAACACACATCAGCGCCAACATTAGGAAAACAAGAATTTTTTTCCAGCCCACAGGCGTTTCTGCAAGAACATCCACACCGTGAAACGTGGTTCTATCCGCCCATACCATTAACTTTGCTTTCACTCTTTCATACTTCAGTGCATCTTTCTCCGCTCGAGAAAGCATATTCATTTCTGGATCCTTCTTACGTCGAAACCACTTGCCCAAATTAAATTTTGATCGAGGTTTTGATCTAGTGCCTTCTTCCTTTAAGTTATTCCTATTCGTCTCTGAGTCCGTAGTATTGTCTGTTTGTGTCACAGTTTCAACATCTCCAAGAGTATTCAAATTCAATTTTCCGGAAGATGACACATCAGAAGTGCTATAAGTTGGTCCCCGATTTTGGTTTGAATCTTCAACAAGAGTTGGAAAAGTATCACTTAAAGAACTGTCATTCCTTCGATAGTCGAAAGTTACAGAAGACGTATTTGATATAGTAGTGGAAGATAATTTTGTTTTATCATTAGCAAAACTACGAGTGGACGTTTCTTCATTTGTAGTTTGGTCATATTTAAGCCGTCTCGGCATACTTTCATATGCGAACGCGTGGAGAGGATATTGTTGAAGTTTAACGCCTTGTCTTGTGACCGTGGTAATCGATCGATATTTGAATTAAACCAAGCAAAACTGAAACCTTGTTCAAATTAAAGTAAAAGCATTCTTTCCATTTAAAAAGGGAGCCCTAGTTTTGATTCTGTGAGGTTTGAAATTAAAGTTTTCCTTGAAAAAAATTGCTGTGCCTACATAATACAATTGCCTCTTTTGCCAAACTTTGTAAATAGTGAGTGAGGTGGTTAGAATCGTTTAGAAGGCACCACTTCCGTGTCAGCAATCTCAATTGAACTTTATTGTTGCAAGGTAAAATGTCCCACATGGCTTCGAAACCAGAGCCACCTTTACTATTGTTCGTGATCGGTTCCGCACATGAGAGAGTTTCATAAAACAGCGAAAATACCAAGAACACCCTGCTGTGTGCGTAAAAAGCATTCTCTGATCATAGTACCTGTGTAATTCCAATAAGCCAACGAGTAGGGAATGAAGGTGGGCTAAATTGGCAACCTCGACAGCAACTCCAGAAGCACGTGGGCCGAAAGGAGGCTTGAACTCCGAGGTTTACTCATCTTTAGATCCCATGCTGCAGGAGATGGCAATGGCCACTGTTAGTGCGATCGTTGCCGCTCACCTTTAATGCTTAGTTATCCAACCTGCTATCCACCATACTCTTGTTACCCTTTATCTCCCTTTACTCTAAACCATTCTGGCCATAAGGTACTCATTACTAAATGCTCCCACTTTTCATTTATTGATCAAAATTAGTTTGCCCTCCCTTCTACGATCCTAGCCAGTGTACCAACGACATAGCAACTTCCGAACATTGCTTTAACCATAATCACTATTCTGGGCAACAATTAATGCTAAAGCCATAATTTTAAGTCAAGTTAATTGTCCATGCGCATCCGCGTACCCCAATAAAGTTCCAATTCACGTCCATCACGACCCCCAAGTGAAGATCAAGACTTAAAACAGATTCAAAATGAAATCGTATTTTTTACTATGTTAGATAGAGTTTCTTAGGAGACAATTGAACCGGCCTGTGGGCGAAAAAAGGAAAAGGAGTCACTTGTGTGGAAAAATGGTGCGAATAAATGAGACAGAGTGTAATTTAAGAGAAATTGATGTGTGAAAGAGGACAAAGAAGCGACGACCGATATCCGATTTCCAGGATTCAGTTTCAGAACAATGGAGAGACTATATACAAGTAGTCGAATAGGAGAATAAAGAAAAGAAACAAAGTAAACAAGAGACTGAAAGGGTCATTGTTATCAGAGGCTGTGGTAACAGATCTGTAAGAGTCTAAGCGATGTAATTGTACACTTTATGATCATTCTCTGAACGTGCAATGAATTCGCGGTTAATGAGAGCCTCAATTCGCTGTTTAATGTCCGTAGAAGTTGGTCGGAAACGCAATTTGAGTTGTTCCATCACTTCACTTAGTAGTTGATTATGTTCCATTGTCTTTCGAGCCTTCATTATACGCACGATTGTAGCTTCAATAACGTAACGTCGGTTCTCATCTACTTTGGTTCGAGTCTCCTGCCTCTCTGGTTCGGTCTCACGGACTGACAAGTTCTTTACCTTAAGAACAAGAGAAAATGAAATTAATTGCGTGACGAAAAATAGTCGGGCTATCTTAGATCTAATTGGTCAGAGAATACTTCCCATGACGCGGTAAAACACAACTGGGATTTGGTTGATTATCCCACAGAAGATTTTGATAAAAATCCATCCATTAAAAAGAATCTAATTTTAGATATTTATCATTCTAAATGTGTAAATAAACGCTATACCAGGTATGGAAATAAGAGATGTGGCACTACCCAAGCTCATAAACATTAGATTTTACCTTTTCCTATCTTCTATGACCATCTATTGAAGTACCTGATCACGCAACTTGGAATTAATCCAGGCCCCTGTTTTTAAACCCCAACATTAAATTCCATCGCGATACATATTTGCATTTTATTTATAGTATTCAATGTCTTCAAATTCACCAAGCTCACAAACATTTGAGAACACTGATAACGACATGAGATCAAAAAATGTATCTAAAACCTTCCACTTTCATGACATTCCTTTTTAAAATTAAAATTCTCAAAATGTCTCAATAATTGAGCATCAACTCAAGAATAAAATCTAAATTTTATCAGCCTCAACTGTATACAGAGGAGAAAAGTGACTTGAGGGTGCAAGTACACAAGAGATATGTTTTTTTGCTGTGGTGGGTCTCCCACCACCCTACTTGTGGGTTGTCATCAAGTTGCACCCTTCTCTCTCTCTTCAGGGTGAAGAGTAGCTCTTATAAAATCTGCTGTAAATATTTTACCATCCGAGCAGGTTTCCAATTTAGTTTGGATAAAAAATAATGCATTAGCTCTGATCGCAAAATATTTCATTTGAAAGATTGATGCAACATGTCTTCAACCTGAATTTACATAGAATGATGGGACAGCTGAGTTATTAAGAAAGCTCAAAAGACATGATTGAACTTGTAAAAAACTTGTGCATCTCCGTTCTATTTAAAATTATGGCATTTGGCTGAGAACTTTTGACTCGCCCTCGGATACATAACTACCAACCTCCTTCAAACTTGAGAAAATAATTGTTTGTACTCAAAAGGGAAAGCTATTTACCGCGGTCCCACGTACTTCTGACATCACACGTTAGGTCCAAAGATCGACAGACAAGTAATCGAAGTAACAGGCTCTATAAGCACACAGATATATCCCTTTGGTGATGGCACAGAAAAATACACCAAGGAATCAAATATATACACATACATGCAGAGGGAGAACACGGTGCGATTTCTCTTTCTCACTATCAAAAGCTCATTTTGTTGGTCTTTTCTACCTCTCATTAAGAGTTAATCTCAGTTAGAGCGATAAAAGCATCTGAAAGCCAAGGGGAGGAGATTTTAAGTGCTGCAAAGTTTTTAGATCATATCAATTATCATATGTGACGAGGCGATTAGCAGCAACAACAGCAGCAGTCAATTGTGATTCCCAATATACCAAAATTTCCACAGGAAAGCCGTTAGATTTTAGCGCCAACTTGAAGTGGGCAATAAGCAAAAAGAGGAGAATATGAGGATGGCCTTACTTAAAACAAAGGTCAAATCTGGGTCTCGAGCTGCAATTTGCGCCTCTGTGTGCACTGATTCCCATAAATGAGATTCAAATTCCCCTGAAGGTTCATGATCACATAATTTGCGATGCAGATTTAAATTGCCCAATGCCAGATTAAAACAAACATCTGGAATTATGAAAGTTTAAAGAATGGGAAGTTTTACCACTCCCATCGTCATTTTAGCAGAGCGGTTAGCCAGTGCCAGTTAGCATCTAGAATTAATATTTAGCCATGACGTGGGAAAGAAAACTGTGTAGAAGTTTAAATCTTGGGGCACAATATGAAATCAAGAAATAGCAAAAGATTCCAGAATAAAAGGAGTTGAGCAGCTGAATAGGAGAGCAGGATTCGCCAAAAACGTGTTTATTTAAGGTGAACTACAGGTACTATTTGAAAACTGATCAGTGGGAGACAGTAGACTTCCGACGGTATCACATAAGCACCAAAACTGCCTCACTCTAAAATATTTCGAAAAGGTAATTATGGCCTAAGATAGTAATAACAGCGGAAGGAATTTTGACACACATCTTCCTTATTTATAGAAGAAGACCCCCACATACACAACAAAATAACTTTAAGCTGATCAAGACAATGAGCGAAGAATCGAATATCAATAGATTCTCAATTTAGCAGAGCTAAACTATTTCGATTTGTGAAAATTCTAAACATGTGACATGCTCTCAAACTTAAGTGTAGTAAAATTTAATGGTCGGCATCAATGTTGCTAGAAGATACTAACTTAACCTCAGCAGAATGGAAAACAGACCAACCGTTGCTAGAAAATTACCTCTCCTGTTCGTACACTGCTTTACGTATCCTTTCTACTCATATTACCTACAGTAGTATCCGAAAAACGCCCTAACTTAAAGCAACACACTTCCTTCGCAGATGGTACCAATGTGCATTCATATCATCAAGATAAAGAGTCAATTGTGTTGATTAGCATTAGCAAGTGTGATTAGTCATTTTAATCGTTGGGTACGGAAATAAAATGTTACGAATTTGTATTACCCGATGACTTGAATGCTCAAGTGGAAACTGCACTACTGGCGTAATTAAAGACATAAGAGAATAGTAAGCACCTGCAATCTCGCCATGATCCCTAAATTTCTTCCAAAATAATAAAAAGTTTAGTCTAATTATATGAATAGCAAAAAAAGACCTAAAGCTGAATAGCATTATTAAAGTTCAAAATGAACGAGCCAAGCAAACACACTGAAAATATGGTCACACACGTAGTAAAACATGCAAAAATCAATACAATGGTAAAGCTGATTGGCAAATTTGAGCTAAATATAAAAACGAGGAAAAAATTGCAATTAGCAAATTATTCCTCCTAACAAAAACCAATTATGAAGACTGCAGACTAACAAGCAAATTTCAAACCAGCTCCATAAATGAATTGTCATGGTAAGCAGACAAACAGTCACTTTTGTTTAATTATTTTAAAATACAAGGGGTGTGCGATAGACTCACCTCCACGTGGTGCGCCCTGGGCAACGTATACTCATACGGAAAAAAAGTCTATTAACCGGCATTTGACTCCTGAATTCAAACTACCATGGCCCGACTATTTGTCATATTCGACCCCTTCCGCAGTACTCACCTCACCTTTTTCTCTACCTTTGTGTCTGTCCGCCTCTTTTACATCTGTGAATCGCTCTTCTGTTCCCCACCCCTCGATTTTCTGCTACTTTGATGAACCTTCCTTCTGTGAAGCTCGAAGCCAGCTAAATGGCTAATGATATTCTATCAAAACGCCTGCCATTTGAAATAAATAAATAAATTTTAAAATACAAAATGCATAAAAATGGATACAAAATGAGCATGGCTTACCTTAACCTTGTGAAGTCGAGAGAAGAACGAGTTATTAACATAAAATACATCCGTAGGCTCAATCTCCTTATTAGCAGCCGTGGGTTTGGGCTCCTTGCAGAGAATACGTTGGGTGGATTTACTCATGCAAAGGGCCATTAAATTTCGCAGTAGGTCTCTCTCCGGAATGCCCGACTCAACCATCAGTTCACTGAAGGTGTACCTACTACGTTGATTGAAGAGCATGAGAATGACCATTTGAAAAGTGGAAACCATGAGGATATACTTCCTCAAAGGTGTCACATCAGAAACCCCAGGACTCCCAGGAAGACCACTACTGGTTGTCGAGGAAAATCGATTAGAAGCAGCAATAACAGAAGAACTAGGACTGGCTTCCAGTGGAGAGGAAGTAGGCACCTCGTCACTAATGGCACCTGGTATTGGTCCATTGAAAGTGGCTGAGAGTTCAGCATGGCCCAAGTTGGAGTGAAGACTAATTTTACGGCCAGTGTGTTTATTTAAGTAGAACCTATAATTACGCAAATTATGCAGTTAGAAGTGACTATTATACGCAAATGATGACAAGATGGCAATGTTATATCCCTAAGAATGAAGAAGAGCAGAGTTAACATTACGTCAACAGCAATACTCATAAATATCTTGAACAAATCGTAAGCAAGTTTATTAAAGAAAAGCACTAAAATTTAATAAAATGTTAAATTAAACAACTAATAGCGATGAGCCATGATTGACAACTAGTTCGCAATAAAAAATTTATCATTTAATTGTCTGCCATGTCTTTTGTAAAAAAAAGTGAAACATAGTGAGGGCGAAAACAGCACATTTTTAAAACTCATCAACTAAGATAAATAGAGAGAGCAATAATATACCCTAGATAACGGACAAAAAATCAAGATACGCCTTAAAAATTACTTACGCAGAAGTACGATAGGAAGTTAACCCTGAGTCTTCTATGCCTCTGAGTGATTAATAAGCATGAAAAAATAGAATCTAAGTTGGTCCGCCTTTGTAAAGGAAATACACTAAAAATTCCAAGTGTTGCATTGAAAGGAAAGTAAGAAGTTTAGGTATCAAAAACACGATGTTTTGAATATTAAACTTCAAAAATTCATAATAGTCCACGATTCACAAATGCACATATCTTAAAGTCGAAAAAAACAGTCGGTAAATAATAAAATGACAATAAAATACCCTAGATGACGCATAAAAAACTTGAGAACCATGACATGATTAGCAATTATTGCATAAATTTTCCTAAATCTAGAAATTGATGAGATAAGAAACCCTCCAACTGAAAATAATTCAGATTGGGAATTAATGAAGTTTGATCTATTTGGCTTTAAAGATTAAATTTTTTCGACAGGTGACAGAAGGAAAGACTTTACTATACTTTTAAACTTATGTGCACCCTCATATGAAAAGCAATCCTACTGGCTCAGAGCTCTGGTCACGGGGCCTGTGACAGCGTAGTTACAAATTAATAAATTAAACAAGGTGAAAAGGAAAGCGGAGGAAAATAGCGAAAATACCGGATTCACGAAGATTCTACTGCTGCATTGATTCATTTAAATCAGTACCATTGGTCTTAATGTCTAGTGCACCGATGAGTAACGGACAAATAGATCCTGACTTGCCAACTTGATTCGACGCACCTACACAAATATCAGCTATACATGAACCAATAAATTGATTACTAAATTGTGGAATTTCTATGTAAGAACAAATTCGAAACATGAGACCTAACACCGAATTAAGACAATTCTGTGATATCATGATTAAATATTAAAAACCAGATAATTCCACTACTTAATCGAGCTAAAACATGGGAACTTGAAGACAACAGTATAATAAAATTATGGGCTTGATCTCATATCATTTACTTAACGTCAAAGATTGAGTGGTGTAATCGTCAAGACTATGACAGAATTTTATATAGTTGCACGAATAACTTCCATTTTTATCATCAATAAAACATCTTCGGAAATTTTATCCTATAGTTCAAATTTAAATATCTACAGCATTATACTTGGCTCACGAGCCACCCAAAACAGCTGAGATAAACGAATGTAGAAAACTCTATCAGCTGCTGAGGGAGAAAAACAAAACAGTGGTCCTACAATGGATTTCTTGTCACTGTGGCATTAAAGGCAATGAGCTTGCTGACGCACTTGCTAAGAAGGGGACAACGATTTTGCAATGCATGGACCGCCCGATGTCTTTCCGCACAATGAAGGCCTTAATCAGGAGAGAATTCCAGACCTCAAGGTGCAACGAACTTAAAGCTCCAACAAAGGAGAAACAGTGGACAGTGGCACTCTCTGACATAGCCGACTGGCCAAGAATCGAAGCCATTGCTGAGTTTAGACTACGTACCGGGCACGATTGCTTGG